GCAGCAGCACAACAACCTGCTAGAGGATTCGGAAGCAGTTTGCTAAACTTGTCGCAACAACCTCAACAACAACAGACTACGGGCTTGCAGGCTTCACTTCTTGACGGTAATCCATACGGTAGTCAGTCAATATTTTCCGGTCTGCCACCGCCAAATGCCCCATCTCCAGGTCCATTGGCTACTCCGTTGTCTGCTGCCATCCGTCAAAAGCAACGAACGCCTTTGCCAGTTTACAAAATTTCACCTAGCGCCGCTAATCGTCTCATCACCCCCCCAACCCGTCAAGGTTATGGGTTTTCTTACTCCACTTACGGCACGCCATCTAGCAGTTCTAGCACTCCTAGTGCTCTGAGCAGCAGCCTCCTTGGTGGAAGTTTGCGTGGCGGTAGCCTTGGACGTAGCTTCAACAAAAGCATGTCAACTAGTAATCTTCGCAGGACCTTTGATGGTGATGCAGATAGCATACTGTCTCCCGGTGCATTTTCTGCTGGCACCTCGCGATACTCGAATTCAAATCTCAAACGGCTTACGATTGATCGTAGTCTTCGAACTGACTTATTCTCACGTTCCACCCACTCGTCTTCTCTTGCGAACGGTGATGATCAAGGATCAAGCAAGCTCAAGAAGAAAGTTAGCTTTGATTCTCAAACTACTGGCGGGGATTCAGGAACTGAGACTGATGGCGCTGTTGTCCGTGTTGAGACCGAGAGCCCTGAGCCAACTGCAGAAGAATTAGGCTTCTTGCGTTCGTCTCGAAAGCAATCAGCTGAAGTGAATGGGACAAACGGGCTTGGCAAGGAAGTGAATGGCGTTAACGGAGTGGCCAGTAATGTACCTGAAATGGAGCAGGTTCGAGGCAATGAGCTTGCTGTTGTCCCCGAGGGCCATGAGCAGGATGGCGGAGCTGTGTTCCCCCCTGGTAAAGTTCTTGTCAAGGTTCCCGAAGGAGATCCTAAGCCCGGGGAATACTGGATGAAGCCTACTCGTTCTGAACTCAGCAAATTACCCCGTCAGCAGCAGAAACACTTTGTTGGCTTCACTGTCGGTCGTGTTGGTTGTGGCTCTGTCACTTTTGACGACCCTGTGGATCTTACCACTGTTGATCTTGACTCGCTGTTTGATAAGTTTATCAAAATTGGCACCCGGTCGATTACGGTCTACCCTGATGATGTTACCAAGCCACCTCGAGGCAAAGGCCTAAATGTACCTTCCACCCTACGAATTGAAAATTCCTGGCCTAGAGGTAGGGATAAGAAAGCTCCGTCTCCCATGACGAGTGGACCAGCCTTCGACAGACACGTTGAACGGTTAAGAAGAGTTACCAATACGGAGTTTATCGACTACGAGAAGCTCACTGGGACTTGGGTGTTTAAAGTGCCCCACTTCACGACTTATGGCCTTGATTATGAAGACGATGATGAAGGTGAGAACTTTGATCAAAGCACTTTGAGTGCACCTCCTCCTGACACTCCTACTCCAAAGGCCCAAACCCAAACCCCCACACAGTCGTCCTTCGCGAATTCTGAGTTGAATTCTACCGTCTCTTTCGATGAGTCTTTCATGGGTGACTCCACAGCAGGAATGGAGGATGATACGTTTGAGTTTAAGAAGCGGAAGCTTGTTCCGGGAGCATTTTTGGGCCAGGGTGGGAACGATGGGGAAATTGAGGACCAGACGATGGAGACGGATGAAGAGGAACAAGAACAAGGATCCTTTTTAAGTGACGACCAATCCCTCGGCTCCCATCCTGAAACCCGTTCCGAAACCGATAGTCTCGAACAAACCGATAGTCAAGACGTCACGGAATCGGAAGGCGAATCAGAAAAAGACAAGGAAATGGAAGTGACGATGGTTGGCTCCTTTCCTGCTCCTGATAACTCAATTGAGCAGACTATTCGCAGCAGTCCCTTGAGGCCCACTTCTATTTTCCAGCGGCCGGACCAGCAGCACGGAACTCCCTCTCAGACACACCTTAACCTTCACGGAAACTGGGCAGAACAGCTGCAGCGAACAATTAGCCCTAGAAAGCAAAATCGACAGGCACTTCGTGAGATTCAAGGTAACGTGTTTGCAGACATAAATAATGAACAAAGCGATGGTACCCCGAGTAAATCTGCTGAACCTGCTCAGGAACCTGTTGGCTTCGCGACGAGCATAGATCTTATGAATTCGCTATTTCCACAGGTAAAGAGTGGTGGTAGACAAGGAAAATCGCATGGCAAAGCTGCAAAGACTCAGGGTTTCCAGGTTTGAACTCCCTTCTGTTTCGATGTTTTTTTTTCTTTTCGTTTGTTTTTCAATGCGTTTTGATCTTACGATTTTTCCTCCTGCTTTGCTTTTGCGTTTCATTCTCCCTTTGACTTAGCGACCAAATTTGTATTTATATATATCTCTCCCTTGATTTTGGATAAAGTCTTTTGTCTTGTTCCTCCTCGTACCTAGGTAGCAATCGAATTGAAAAAATTAATATACTAAACCTTCTTGTTTCTAGTGGCCTTATCGAAAGCAATCCAAAACTGTTGGCGGAAACACGAAGGATATGTCTGAAGACGATATTTTGTTTCATAATTCGTTCAAGCCCAAATTTGGCTGTACGGACAACCTCATTTGCCCGAGAATTCCTGGCTCTATCAATCGATCTGAGGCGCCGTGGAACCAGGCAGGCGCACTTTCTTCTGAAGGAAGAACCATTGTTCTCCATAAATATGACCAACCAGCTCTAGTAAGCGATGGCACATTGACTGTGTTTGGTGATATACCCCTACTGATGTGTAATGCTTTTAGCCCCCAAATACGTTAAACGAACAGAGAACACGAACCAACATCCGCGTTATTGATAACGTATCCTTTGCCCGATTGTCTAAGGTTAATTTTTCGGTTTTGGCCGATACCGTCGGCGGTAACTCTCGGGCAGCCGATTTGGAGAGACAGGTTTGGCAATTGGCCAATATTCTTTTCAACGACGATATTGAAGACGACATATCGGCGGGGGTTCCCCAAAATCTGCGCCATAAATATGTCCATCGTATCAAAAAGGATAGACTTAGTCGGCTCTGGCAATCCATTATACGTGATCGACATTCCAAAGAAGTTTCCGACATCCAGTCTCCTGAGGAGCGTGCAATCGCTTACCTCTCCTCCCATCGCATTGACGAAGCTTGCAAAGCCCTCGTGGAAAGTAGAAATTTTCATTTAGGGACCCTGGTGCCACAAATTGGTCGCAATAGCACAGTGCGCAACGCTATGCGAGAGCAAATCGAATCGTGGCGTAAACATAATGTTTATTCTGAAATGACTGAGCCTATTCGAGCTCTTTACGAGTTGCTTGCTGGAAATTGTTTGCGGAGTGATGGAAAGCCTGGTGGCGTCCTTGAAGATAGAGCGTCCACTTTTTATTTATCTGAGCGCTTCGAGCTTGACTGGATCCAGGCATTTGCGCTTCGACTCTGGTATGGTATTGACGAAGAGGACTCCATCGAGAAGGCAGTGGAACTCTTCCACCACGATATTACCCATGGAAATGAGCCAGCTTACCCTTTTTCGGAAGTATCCCGAGATTGTAATCGTGATGACCCTCTGGAATCTCCACTTTGGGTTATGCTGAAATCATTCACAACGGCGATGGGCCGACAGGAAAACCGCAAAATTCCACCAATCCCACTGCCTGAAGCAATTTTGCCGGACGCTGTTTCTGGAAATCCCCTACACAATCGATTCTCATTTCAGTTATTCCACCATTTACAAACGTTGATGGGACATCTCGATGCGGCAGTTATCAATGAAGCCCGAGCTGATCAACTAACATGGGATTATGCCTGGGAACTCGCAGCACTCGAACAATTCCCATCAGCCATATTCGTCCTAGAACACCTCTTAAACTTCTCTCAGCGAGAACGTAGTATTAAAGAGCTTCTTTCCCGCTTCGCCGCATGGCTTCCTGCCCGCACTTTCAGCGATGGAACCCCAAATCCCCTGTGGGGCTATATCGTGGATGACCTCCAAGTACCCAGCAGCTGGATCTGGTCGGCAAAAGCGCTGTACGCACGTGCCAAATGCGACCCGTCGAACGAGGTGCAGTTCCTCATCAATGCGAAACACTGGAACGAAGCGCATGAGACATTCCGCAGACTCGTCGGGCCCAGGACGGTTATCGAACGCGACTATGTGACTCTTGAGACGTTGATTTCTGGATTTGGCGAGTCTCCTGAGCGCAAAGTGCGTGGCTGGGCCGCTGGTGGAGCTATCTATGATGACTTCCTGCATCTGATTACGGCCAAGGGTCCACGGCGCGAGTCGGCGCGGTTGAAGAGGTTGGTTTCTGCTTTGGCGACTTTGGGCCAGAGAATGGATAGTGAGAAAGATAAGGGTAGGGATGGCGATAAGGAGGATCCGTCGTCGGTTTCTGCTTGTTTGGAGGAAACGGTCGCGTTTAGGGAAATTAGTCATGTTGTTGCTGGGTGGTGTGCGAAGGATACTAGAAGTGTGAGTTTTCTTTATGTAGTCTCCTTTTTGTTTTTACGACAACGTGGGTGAGGGCTGGGAGAATGGTATACTAACTGGATATTTCCTTTGTTTAATTTAGACTATCGAGCCCGCAGCTATTCTTAATTTGTTGCTGACGCAGGATACTCGACTCTTGCACACGGCCGAAATGAGCAGGCGGTACTACAATATTATCATGGCCACAGCCCATTAAGTGGTCTCTCTATGGCTGATAGGAGACGACAGCGAGAACGGACTAACGGGGACAAAAGTTGACGAGGAACAATGATATCAGCAAACGGCTCTGGACGCCCAAAAATGATAATAAAACGCCTTATGCCCTGGCGTACTTCCATGAGTGATTGCCTTTGGTATGAATGGAGATAGAGTGCGCGAGTGTTTGGGTCTTGTTGGTGAGCAAGGATATGTTGATGGACTGATGGATATTTCTATTTTGTTTTTCCTTTCTCTTGTGTATTATTCTACGGAAGAGTGTATGTTTGTTGGAGATGTTTTTAATGGTTTTTTTTTTATTGTATTAGCTAAATAGTTCTATAATTAGTTTTGTTTAAAGACCTTTGGAAATGATTGGTTTATTATAAAAGGAACGAAAAATAAAAAGTGATTTTCATATTCTTTTTCGTGGTCTTAAACTCCGCTTGGATATATCCATGCCTCCTTATTTTATTACTGTGTCCCACAACCCTGAAGTCTCAGTCACAACATCCATCCTTTATGAGCTCCGTCCATTCTCCAATCATTAGTCGGATGTATGTTATTGTGAGAGTGCGGGACCACTCATACGGACGTAGTTGGTGCGTTCATCACAATGATATTATCTATCATCCACTTTGCTACTCTTCGACTTTCGGTACCTTCTTTACAATGGTATCATGCGTCCATGTATGTAACTACCTAGTGTACAAGTTTACTCAGCAGTGACAATATAATCATGCTACCTGGGAGTAGTTTTCCCATTCAATCCCCTTTTAAAATTCGGTAGGCTGATATCAACCTCTATTTCCCAGGCCGATAGACCGAAGAAAGTGATGTCTTACCAGAAGAGAGAATGGTGAGAATATTTTTAACTATGAGAATATTTTTGTTTCCTTTAGCATACCGTACAAAAAAAGGGAAAGAGGAAGGTGAGAATAGGAACATAAATCCCTCATATAACGAGCAGAAGGAACGTACAGTACAACAACATAAATTAAGGGAAAATATCTAGTCAAAGTGGGAGAGGGAACATTTCTCTTCAGCCATATGGCAAACAGAATACTCCTCTCCATATCGAGCGGTACGGAGGTGGTGGGTGATATGTGGTTTAATGGGGAACAAGAAACCTCTCCAATTACCACTTCTCTCGTCTACGGGGGTGATTTAAACTAAACCTAAGCAGGCAGCCCCTCCAGCAATTCCATTCTATCATATGTGAATTATTGGCCAGGAGCGATAAGCTTTCCATCCATACGCGCCTGTGGGTCCCAACCCCCAGCAAATGCCTGCTTACCACCGTGGTCCTGTTCATATTTGCGTATTCTAGCCTCGAGCTCTGGTCTGAAGTGCCGGATCAGGCCCTGGATGGGCCACGCAAAAGCCTCACCGAGAGCGCAGATGGTGTGTCCCTCAACTTGCTTGGTGAGTTCCTGAAGCATGTCGATCTCCCGTTCGCGGGCCTGACCGCGTTCGAAGCGCTGCATCATCTGCATAGTCCATTTGCTTCCTTCGCGGCATGGTGTGCATTGGCCGCAGCTTTCATGTTTGTAGAAGGCGGACAGGCGTGAGATGGCGGCTACTACATCGGTAGATTTGTCCATGACGATCACGGCTGCCGTTCCAAGACCGGATTGCGCATCCTTGAGAGCGTCAAAATCCATCAGTTGGTCGTCGCAGATGTGCTTTGGGAGAATCGGAGTTGATGAGCCGCCTGGGATAACAGCCAGTAGATTATCCCAGCCGCCTCGCACACCACCGCAGTGGCGTTCAATAAGTTCGCGAAGTGGAATAGACATTTCCTCCTCAACTGTGCATGGGTTGTTGACGTGACCGGAGATGCAGAATAGTTTGGTTCCCTGGTTTCGCTCACGCCCGAATGAGGCGAACCATTTACCTCCACGACGGCAGATGGTTGGTGCCACAGCGACGGTTTCGACGTTAGTGACTGTGCTGGGACAGCCGAAGAGACCGACGGCAGCCGGAAACGGAGGCTTCAAGCGGGGCTTTCCAGCTTTTCCTTCAAGGGACTCGATCAAAGAAGTTTCCTCGCCGCAGATATAAGCGCCCATTCCCCTGTGAAGGTAAACGTCGAAATCATAACCGGATCCGCAGGCGTTTTTACCGATCAAGCCAGCTTGATAAGCTTCCTGGATGGCGCGCTGTAGAACGGTGGCCTCATGGTAGAATTCGCCACGGATATAGATGTAGGCGGCCGTAGCATTCATCGCACGTCCTGCCACGAGACAGCCCTCGATAAGCTTATGGGGATCCTTTCGCATGATTTCTCGGTCTTTGCAAGTTCCCGGTTCGCCTTCGTCAGCGTTCACAACGAGGTATCTTGGTTTATTATCTTTATCCCAGTCCTTGAAGTTCATGAAGGACTATAAATATGGGCAATTGAAACATGTGATTGCGTCAGTGTAACCAACCCCATAAATGCCCATTTCTTATAGCACTGCGTTTCCGCAAATCATAGCGATTCAAGGTTCACGTACCCATTTCAAACCAGAAGGGAAACCAGCACCACCTCTGCCTCTTAGCCCGGATGCCTTAATCTCCGAAATAATCTGAAAATCATCAGTTCGCAATTCCATGAAAGCGCCCGAACCGCTCCGGCTCTAAACTCCGGGAACAGTCCATACCCAGTCATGTCCTTTCAATACAATGTCCTTTGTCCTGTACCAATCG